AATACCAAACCTGACAAACCTGACAAATACCAGGTTTTGGTTTTTTTTTTTTTTTTTTTTTAAGATTTATTTATTTATTTATTTATACAAGCACTGGGTACAGTCAGAAGCGCCGGGGGGTGAGAGAATTCAACAGAGCCAAAGCAGGGAACAGAACAGGCAGACTGACAGAAATACACTGCTGAGAGGTCTGCGCGCCATCTGGGACCCTCGCCAGTGGCCAGGGATCGAACTGGTGCTGCAGAGGCTGCAGGCAGCTTCGCAGCCCAGCGCTCAACCGCTGCACCACCAGAGGAGGCCCCTCATCCATGCTCTTATAAACTGCAAGCAATGACTTAAACTTAGAGTATAACAGAATTTATTTACTAGGTGAGAGAGATAAGGGAAAATGAAAGTTTCTTTTTTTTTTTTAAAGATTTATTTATTTATGCATACAAGAGCTGGAGTACAGACCAGAGGCATGAGTAGGGGGTGAAAGGATTCACCAGAGACAGAGTGGGGAACAGAACAGGCAGACTGACGAAATACACTGCTGAGGGGAGCAGCGGGCAAGATAGGAGAGGTCTACTGCGCCATGTGGGTTAGCTCCCTGGCCAGTTGGAGGATCAAACTCGTGCTGCAGGGCTGCGGACAGCTTCACACATGGTGTCTTAACCACTTGCACCACCAGGGAGGCCTGGAAAATACAAGTTTCTAAAGCCACAAATGGCCACTAGTTCTACCCAAGGAAGACACAAGTTGCATGTTTGTGATAGAAAACTCAAGGCTCAAGGCGTGGACAGGAGACCTGGGGCCTGATTCTGCCCACCCAGCTGCCAGGCAGTTTGCTGGCTCTAAAGGGAATCAAGTGTCAAGGAAGCTTATAAGCCTGAAGGCAAAATAACTGTGAACTTAACACCAAGCAGTACCAAGTAAGTGGTGGGTTTTTTTGTTTTTGGTTTTATTGGAGTGGGGGAAAGTGGGGGAAAGTGGGGAAGGGAGAAATACTTTGTTTCAATTGAGGAAGGGATCTGTTTTCTGCTTTATAAATGTTACTTAGTTTCTTTCTGGATAGCCAGGAAGTCTAGGCTCAATAGATGATTGTTGAATAAGGGAATATTTGCTTACTAGAATCTCATGGGTTCTCTTTGAGTTAGAAGTTATTTTAGAAATGAAAAAAAGTAAGCTCAGAGAAAATATAAAATTTGGTTTTTCAATCACTCATTTAGCAAACATGAACTGAGCACTGAGCCTGTGTCAACCTGAAGATAAAATAATTAGTAACAGATGGTCCTCACTCCCAGGGAGTAAGGACAACCAGGAATGCCTTTAAAAGCACTTAACCTAGTTTATTTCTCCCTGCCACAGTGCTGTCAGGGGCATTTTAAATTTAAATCAATTACAATTAAATAAAATTCAGTTCATCAGTACTCTAACCACTTTTCAAGCAGTCAGTAGCCACATAACTCCTTGTAGGGTAGATGATTGCCAGGCTTTTCTGCCCTCCCACCATCAGGATTAGTGATGGATCCCTGCGGTCCTGCATGCATGCCTGATGGCGGCACCTAAAGAGGGGTATGGGCAGGCGTAGGTGGGTATACCCAGGCTGAGAGACTGGACTCTTAAGAGCAGCGCCACGGGGAAAAGAAGAAAAAGAATGAGACCGCCAGAGAAGGTGGGAGAGCCCAGAAAAGAGTAAAGACTCGCTGGGGGCTGGGAGGTCTGGCAGCCTCCTGTTCCCCCAGCACCCCTGCTTGCCGCGTACCTGGTAGAATCCCGATAAAAGCCTGAAAAAGCCACTGAGGGCTCCAGGTCTCTCCTTTACCCGTCTACATAGGATCATAGAGATCCTGCTCTGTGGCACTACTCCCCTACATTGGGCAGTGCAAATATACTATAGAAAGTTCTACTTGGAAAATGCTGCTTTAGACCTTGTCCCCAGAATAGCATTCATGGGTATTCAAATTCATGCAGCGTCAAAGTATTTGTACCTTGGTTTGAAAGCCCTGATGACAGAGCAAGAGAGAAATGGATAGTGCTGGTAACTACAAGTAAAACCAAGGTTAGGTTCAGTATAACCAAGTCCAAACTTATGGAAATGTTAGCTCAGAACCATATCCGGCAGAGTTGGGTGCAGGAGAATTAGTCACCTGTTCATTTCAACAGGGATGGATTCTGTTTCCTGAGCCTCGTGGGGAAGCCTGCAGTTTGTCTGGGCAAGTGTGGCCACACGCTGACGTGTGCGTACGGGACAAGAACGGTCCCCACAGCCACTCTGAGATTTCAGGGGAACTTGATTGCTGCTCTCATCAGCTACTTGTGGTCTCTTGGAACTGAAGACATCGGCTGTCACTTCTAGTAGGCTTACATTCATTCAGCTGTCACTTTCTACGCTTCCAGGACAAGGCAAAAGAGATGGAGATCATGAAAACAAAAAGTTTATACCCTAGCAGAGGAGACAAACATGAAACCAGCTAGTCAAGCCAAGGTAAAACCAACAAAATAAGTGCTGGAACAGGCAAGGTACTGGGAAATTTGAGAAAAGGGGAGCTTCGGTTCATTTAAGGGATAAGGCAAGGCTTGATAAAAGATGGCATTGGCGAGCGCCCTGCAGGATACGTTGCAACAGAACAGCCTGAGCTATGCTAGCGGTGGGAATTCTTCCACGTTCAAGTTCTTCAAGTTCACAGTTCTTCCACACAAATGGTGGTTTTCCCCATCCATTTGATGGGGGACTTGCTCTGTCATTCCGGAGTCTTGTAGACGCTCCATGCCACCTCACACACATGCTCCCTTATGAATGTTCTGCTGGAACTCCATGGTCAGATTGTCAACCAATTTTTGCCACACTCCCTTGTCCTCTGGCTTATGTATCAACTCTCTCACCCGTATCCAACCTTATCTTGCTGAAATCAAGATCATTTCTTCACTATCAACAACCCTCTACTCTAATCCAACACTTCTCTGTATCTCCCCCTATTTTTCTCCCACCCTTCCCATCCTACATAGAATGAGGGGGATGAGGACTCCTTTCCATGAGGAACCCCTTATCCTGACCTTTCCCTCCTCTTCCAGGAGTCAGTTCTGTGCCTTAGCTCCCCTCATGTATCTCCAGTTTTCAGTGCCTAGAAATTCCTCTCTTCTAGGATCAGATCCAGGTTTTGCAGGGTGGGGAGCTTATTTACTCTTGGGAGCGCTCTTCAAGAAAAAGAATAGAAAATTACACATTCTAACTTAGGAACCAAAGTAAATACAGTATTTATTCAGCAGTGGCCAGTGCACAGGTGAGGGCCTTGAAGCTTGAATTTCACAGTAAAGCCAGTTGTGTCTGCACTACAGTAACAAGGCAAGCCTTAAAGCTCCCTTGCCTTGCCACTGCAAATCACTATTTCCATCTCTATTAATCAGTCTGAAACAGCTTAAGAAATTAGTCTACCTACACTGTCTTTACTTCCACAAGACTTTAACCCTATGCCCCCAATTCTATTGCAATGGCTTTGTCTAAAATACCATTGACCTCCTAGTCCCTAAAGCTAATGGCCGTTTTCTTGGTTCTGAACTTGTTTGATCTTTCTACAAATAATTTGGCACGTGGGTCCCCCTCTGACTTCTCTGATGACGCCTCGTCCACTGAAGCATTCCCAGTGGGCCTTCTTCAGGGCCCCTTCCAGGGCCCATGTTGACTTCCCTCCCTGTGACTCAATATCACACCCACACCCATGGCCTCAGGTGACTGAGGCACAATTCTAAGTTCCTTGTCTGCCTCCCCTTATAAATTCCTGGCCTATGATTCAAGTTCTATATCTGAGGTCCCAACAGCACCTCAAAGTCAATATTGTTCCCTGGGTGTGTCAACAGCATCCCTACCTCCCAGACACCTGCTTCAGAAAATTTCAAGTGTTAGACGTGTTGCTTTGTTTAAACTCTCCCTCTGTGCTTCCTTCAAGTTGATAATTGAGCAGTTCCACCTCGTCAATATCCCTAGACTCGGTGCATTCCTTTTCTCCCACTTTAGCGTTGCTCCCTGTAGAGCAGGCAGGGAGCAGGGCAGACCGGGCAAATTGGGAGCAGGGGTGTGGGGTCAGGAGGCTGGCAGGCCGCCTAGCCCCCAGCCAATCTTCACTCTTAGGCTTTCTCTACAAGCGTCTCTTCCTCTCACAGCCCTTCCAGCACTGTCCACTGCCCTCCCCCACAAAGCCCTGATGCTGCCCTTGCAGCCTGTCTCAGCACCTCTGCATCCCCCCACCATACTCCGGGGAGGCATCAGGCATGTGCACCCCAAGCCCAAACTCCCAAGCGCCTCCTGCATTCAGGGTCCCAGGTGACAGCCGCAGAGGCCAACAGCGCAAGCGCCTGAGCAACCCCCATTTACCCCCCACTCACCACTGCCTTGGACTGGTCCAAAGGATATGTTGGGGGTGGGGGCTTGAGAACCCCAGAGCTTAAGTGTGACTTGCCCCATTAAATCAGACACAGTCTGGATTCTGGATGTCCCACTGGTTCTAGTAGCGCTGTCAGGTTTAAACCCTCTGCAGTCCCTCATGCCAGAGAGCGAGAGACACAGACACGCAGGCAGAGCAGGCCGCTCCGCGCGGGGCGGGAGGTCAGGTCCGCGCGCAGAGCAGGGGAGGGCGCGGGAGCGGGCGCCGCGGGAAGCCGGGCTGCGGCACAGGCGGCTCGGCTGGGGTGCGAGGAGCGGGCGGGTGGCCCCCCAGAGGCCCCCCGCGCGGGCGCTCAGGTGCGCGGGGGCTGCGCGCGGAGGGGCCGGCAGGGCGGGGGGCGCGCGGGGGGCGCGCGGGGGGCGCGGGGGCCCGTGGAGAGGCGGGGCCGCCACCTCCGGCCGCGGGCGTCGGGGCGAGGGGCGCGCCGCCCCGCGCCGGGTCCCCGCGTGTCCGGCCCGCTCGGCGCGGCCGGGGGGAGGCGGGGCGCCGGGAGCGCGGCCCGGGCCGGCCCCGCGGGGCGGTGGCGGCCGTGACGGCGGCTCGGGCCGGCGGCCGAGCGCACCCCGCCCCCGGCTATGCGCGGAGATGTCCGCGTCGGGGCTCAAGGCCGAGCTGAAGCTGCTGGCGTCCATCTTCCACGGGGGCCACGAGCGCTTCCGCCTGGTCAGCTGGCGGCCGGACGAGCTGCACTGCCAGTTCCTGGGCGCGCCGCCCGCGCCGCCGCTCTCGCTGCACTGCAGCCTCTCGGTGAGGCCCGGCCGGACAAAGGCGGCGGCCCGCGAGGCCGCGGGCTCGGCGGGGCGGGCCCCTGGCCCCCTGGCCCTCCTCCGGCCCCCGGCCCCCCGCGCCCCCCGGCCCCCCTAAGCCCCTGCCCCCCCCGGTCCTCGGCCTCCCGGCCCCCCCGGTCCCGACCCTACCTCGCCCGTTGCCCGGCCGCCCGCGCGCTCCATCGCCGAGGCCCGCGGGGGGCTCTGGGCGGCGCCCGCGGGGGGGGGGGGCCTCGCCGGGCGGGGGCTTCGGCCGCGTCGCCTCGCGGGAGCCGTTTCGGGGACGCGCCCTGGGGACGCCCGCGCGGCTGCCTGAGGCCGGCGGGGTCGGGCGAGGCGGCGCCTTCGGGGTGCAGCCCCCCCGCCGGGCCGGGGCGCGCCCGCCCCGACGGTCGCAAAGCCGCTCTCAGGCTCGCGCTTCCCCTGAAGCCGAAAATCCGTTCACCACCCAAGCTTGGCAAAATAATGAAGAGTGAAGTAACTTCTCCATGTGCGTGTCGACGCGGGGTCGGGCGCCGGGTCAAGCGGCCCGAGAGGCTGCCCCCGGGGCCCGGCGAGTCCCCCTGGACGCGGAGCCCGGCCGGGGCTATCCTCGGCTCTGCGGGTCCTGCGCGGGCCCGAGGTTAAGATCATCGGTATCAAAATAACGCGCAGGGAGGGCGTCTGGGGCGGAGGTGTGCGGGCGCCAGCACAGCCTCGGGGCTGCACGGCCCTCCCCCGCGGTCAGGTTGCTGCACGGCTGAGCTCTGAGGCGCGGAGGTTGCAGAACTGAGCAGAACTGCCTGCAGAGCTCCGTCTCCTGTGGGAAGCGTCTCCTCACACTATCAAGAGTGACCAAGGTCTAGGGTGTCATGAAAGCCAAAGAAAGTAATTTTGACATGGATGTGGGGGGGGGTCTCAGCAGGCTTTGAGGATGGAGTTGGGTTCCCCACGGGTGAGCAGAATTTTGGAAGGAGATGGAAAGGCATTTTGGGTAGACGGGAACTCTATTCCAAAAGACCCCAAAGCCTGAGAGGGTGGGGCTGCTTAGGAGTAGACAAGTTATGCTGAGACTGGGAAGGCCCAGGCTGATACGCTCGCGAAGGGGGAGAGTTAGGTGAGCACAGGGACTGACTGGTCTGAACGACCTGGGGGGTGAGTACTGCTGGAGAAGTTGGGGAATGACCAGGGACAGGTGGGGCGGGTTTGAATGCTGGGAGATTGATGACAGGGGGAGCCACCTTGTTAATCAGGTAAATTGGGGGAAATGTGTTCGCCATTCAGGACTAGAAGAGGTTCCTCTGTAGCAGGTGGCGGTAAGAAGTGGTGTGGTTTCATTTATCCGGTGGTGGTGGCATCTTGTAATGTCTGCTTGAGACGCCAGCAGTGTCTCCTTGAGAACCTGTTGGAGGCTGCCAGCCGCGTGCTGCGCCCAGGTTGGAACAGTGACCTGGGTCAGGTGGTAGCAAGGAAAGGGAGCAAGAAGTGTGTTAGAGATACTAGTAAAAGGAGGGTTTGCTGGGAGACAGGTATAACCTTAACTTTAGTAGAAGGTATTCCAATTGAGATTCTAGTGAATTAAGACAGACATCAGAAGATGACATGGAAAATGCTTAGGTAGACAAATGTGCGTTAACTACTAATTGTGGAGAAACATCGAACATTCAAAAGCTGGACAGTGGAGAAGGCCTGTGTACCCAGCCTCAACAGTGACAAACTTTTGGCCCTCTAACTTCACCCGTGCCACACTTTAGATTATTTTAAAGGAGATTCCAGGCATCACTTCATGTGATTCCAGGCATCACTTTTTACGTTATTATCTGTGTATCTCAGGTTCATGTGGCTTGTTCACGTTGATACCATTTTATCAGGGGAAAGAGCAAAAAAAAAAAAAAAAAAAAAGAGCAAAAAAAAAAATGAGGTTGGATTTCAAATGCTGATGACTGCATTTGTGGTTTGCTGTTACCTAAAAAGTTGTAGCTCAAAAAAAAAGATAGTGAATTTGACCTGTCCTTCAGCTTTTCCTCTTCTTCCCAAATATTTATTTATTTATTTATTCTAGAAGCTTCCCATTTTCTTCTTTTTTTCTTTTTTTTTTCCATTTTTGCACAATGTATGCATTTTCATTTTGGTTATATTCCCCATACAATTGCACCCCCCTTTATTTTGACCCTAGTCCTTCCTCTCCCCACCCTTCCCTTCCAGTGTGTATTTGGTTTATAGTTGCTTGTTGATTTTGATTTTTACTTTGTATTAAAAGTCTTTTTCCTGGTCCCTTATTTCGGTTTTCTAAATTTCTGCTATGAGTGAGACCATCCAGAATTTTCCTTTTTCTTTCTGGCTTATTTTGCTGAGCATGATCCCTTCTAGCTCCATCCATGTTGCTGCAAACTGCATGTGTTTACCTTTTTTGATTGCTGAGTAATATTCCATGGTGTATATGCACCTTATCTTCTTGATCCAGTCATGTATTTTTGGGCATTTGGGTTGTTTCCATAGCTTAGCTATTGTAAATAGTGCTGCTATAAACATAGGGGTGCAGGTGCCCTTTTGAATTAATGTTTCTGTGTCCTTTGGGTAAATACCTAGGAGTGGAGTTGCTGGATCATATGGAAGCAAATATTTATTGAGCTTTCTACAAGCCAGACCCTGTCTTCTCTGTGCTTACCAAGAAGCACCCTTTTTCAGTTTCTATCATATCTGAGTTAAAGGTACCTACTAATTATTTCCTCACACACATGCATACCAATTTCTCTTAGAGAAATAATCCTCTAACAATACTCAGCCACCTTTCAGGCTTTTGCATCCACAGTTTTTCCTGTGTGGAATGTGTCCCTTATCACACTCCTGCGTCCGTGTCTGACCATCCTCAAGGCTCTTCTCATATTCAGTTCATGCTGATAATTATTTCCACCTTCCTTCTATAATCCTTACTATTTATGGCTTTAGGTATATTTATGAATAATTTCAACAGTTTTGAATTATTTTGGTGGTATAAGAGAATAATTTATAGTTACGCTATTCATCTTCCACTTAGTCAATGTAGGTCGGTAATATTTGTTGTCTATATGAACCACCATTCTAGCTATAGTGTAAGTTAACTACTAAAAAATTTGTTACAAGTACCAAGTAAACATCAAGTGTAACCGATAGTGCATATATATTTTGAAGGTCCCTGAGGGTTTGGCAGGAAATCTGTAATTTAACTTAATATAAGAGACAGTTTTTTAGAAGTAAAAAAACCATTTATTCTCTAGTCCAAGGGATTGAGCAAATATTTTGCTTGATCAATTTTGTCCTAATTTTAAATGTGACGGAAGAAAGAATGCTATTTTCAACTTCAAGGGGTCGTTTATTATTTCCTGTGAACTCATGAAAGATTGTCGTGAAAATTTAGGTAATTTTTAAGTCACTAGATCTAATTGCCAATTAATGCTAACTTATACTTATCATTACACTTAAAGCAAAGTTGCTTGTTCAATAACCTGTGCAGCCTTAGTTAAGGCTTTCTTTTAGTCCTTCAAAATATTTAACGTAACTTGGCATCTCCATTTCTCCTTTTATGGACTTAATGATATTTGTAGGCATTCTCTGTTTTACAATTAAAAATTCTTCCCCTCCCCCCAGAAGTAAATTAACTGGTAAAACAAATGAAGCCTCATACTGTATTGTTTGTGTGGCATAAATCATTTCTCTTTCTGTAGAAGTAGCTATTTGCCAAAGTACTTGTGGTTGAAGATTTTTTTCTGGTTCAGCTAATTAAATTTCATCATTGCCAAAATGTGTTCCCTCCCCCCTCCCCACACACACAACCTTTAGCAAAATACTAAATTTAAAAAGACAAAACTTTAAATCAGAGTTCCATAGAGAAAAAGGTTTTATTTAGTAGTTGGGTCCTTAAATAATTTCTTTTGCTGTATCAAATAGATAACTTTTGCCTTATAAGAGAGCATATATAGGAAACGTCTTTACCAATGATAATGTTCTTTGTAAATATGAAAGTGATGGCTCATCTGTGACTGAATAACACTTTATTTGAAAATGCTTTATCATAGCTTTTCATGGAAAATAAATTAGTGCTACTGATTTCTTAACTTTACACACTTCTAGTCTTTACACTGATGAAAGTAGCCCAGCCACAGTTATCCAAAGGAAATAATGAACAAACTCTAGTAAAGAGTCTAAGGACTTTTCCTTGGCCTATCCCCCTGGGACAGATTGCCTTTCCAAATTGAACTCATGGAGAATGATTTGGAAATATCAGAACTGTGTTGTTAATCACTTAGGTGGTACTTTTAGGCCAGAGTAGTCTTTGTTTTCATTCATCTGGCCAAATTATAGTGTAGAGTCAAATTCCTACTCATTATCTAGTCTCCTCATCCCACTTTTTATGCCCTTGAAAGGAACAGATATATGAGAAGAGGGGACTCAGGTTTCTATTTTATGAAACTAAGGGGTATCCCTTAGTAACTTTCTTTTCTTTTTTTGTTAAACTTCCTTAGACCTGAAATAGTATTAGATAAATGTATTAGATTAAATAGTATTAGATAGTATTAGATAAATGCCAGCTCATTGAGGGCCGGGGAACTGAATTGAAATGGTCACTGCCAAACATAAAGCACCACTGGAGAGCTGAAGGAATGAAGCAAGGGTTCCTTATTTCAAAACCTGGTAATAGTGTTCTCTGCTCTTCTACATGCACATTCTAAAGACATAACATATGAAGAATCAAGGAAACTAGTCAATGGTTTCTGCAGATTTGGTGGTTTGAATGCTTTGCAGTACCTTTGTTTTCTCTGCCTTAGTTCACTTAGAATAAGGCTTGAGTAGAACATGTAAGCACTCAGAACATGTAAGCATTCTGCAGATCACAGTGATACGTATTTTTCTTTTATCAAGAATTAGTGTCTTTACTTAGCTTTTGTGGACTCTGGTCATGTTAGATACTTAGTTGTAAAATGATTAGCAGGGAGCAGTTTCACTCTTTTAGTAGCTTTTCATGTTGTCTGAGCATTTAAAATTTTACTAAGTATCTAGATGGTAATTATGTCAGTTTATCACATTGTCCACCCCATATTTATTGAAGATCAGAGTGTGAAAGTTATGTGTCCTATAAGCTCTCCAGAAGTATTAGAACTGTTGACCTCTGAACCCTGTACAGTAAGGAGTGTGTGCACTCATTTTCAAAGAGTTGTGAAATCCTTAGAGATGGTTATGTCCTGCCATTTGGAAAAATACGAGAAACTGAGCATTCTGGCTGGCAATTTTGCTGGCTAGTGCTTGATAGAGTCACACATTGGTCTCTTAGTAGATTTATTTTGAATGTAGAGAAAGTTATTTCTGAATAAGACAGAAAGTTCTTTTCTTAAGCAATGACACGCAAAGAGCTTCGTTTGATTAACCTTGAGTTATGTTTCCTCAGAATAACACAATACAACATTTTATTGTGGTAATAGTGGAGGTAAACTTGATTGAAATTTGTGCACTTTTGGTAACCTCTGTGGTGGTGATCATAGACATCGTTATCCCATTGGTCTTAAAATTACTATAAAGCTAATAGTGGAATGGTGGCAAAACAAAGCTCCTTGTATAGTTAAATGCTTAGATAATTGTTCTGTATTTAAGTCTAAAATTTTTATAACTGTGATAAAAAAGAGCTGTGCTTGAAACACTTAGCAATTGGTAAAAGAAAAATATTAAAAAATATTGGGGGCCTCCCCTGGTGGCGCAGGCGGTTGAGCGCCACGCTGTGAAGCTGGCCACAGCCTCTGCAGCACCGGTTCGATCCCGGCTGGCTGGCTGGCGAGGGTCCCACAGGGCGCGGCAGACCTCTCCTGTCTCACCCACTGCTCCCCTCAGCAGTGTGTTTTGTCAGTCTGCCTGTTCTGTTCCCCGCTCTGGCTCTGGTGAATCCTCTCACCCTCCTGTGCATCTGGCCTGTACGCTGGTTCTTGTATAAATAAATAAATAAATCTTCTAAAAACATGGGATTTTTGAACACCATCCGCTTTTCAGAATCAGTATATCATGGGTTATTTTAAAGAGGAATATAAGGAAACTCTCCAAGATAGAGAAATATAAAGATTAAGTGCTAACCTTGTAAAAACATAAAGGCCCGAAACATGTGAGTGATTGAAAATATTAGTGAAGGGGTTTAGATACTGGTCATAATCTTAGAAGCCTTTCACAATAGTTTTTTTTTTTTTTTTTTAATATTAGCACTGAATGAACTTTGAACATAATGTAGATTATGTAAGATTATGACCAGTATCTAAACCTCTTCACTAATATTTTCTCTATCTTGGAGAGTTTCCTTATATTCCTCTTTAAAATAACCCGTGATATACTGATTCTGAAAAGCGGATGGTGTTCAAAAATCCCATGTTTTTAAAAGATTTATTTATTTATTTATACAAGAACCAGCGTACAGGCCAGATGCACAGGAGGGTGAGAGGGTTCACCAGAGGCAGAGCGGGGAACAGAACAGGCAGACTGACAAAACACACTGCTGAGGGGAGCAGTGGGTGAGACAGGAGAGGTCTGCCGCGCCCTGTGGGACCCTCGCCAGCCAGCCAGCCGGGATCGAACCGGTGCTACAGAGGCTGTGGCCAGCTTCACAGCATGGCGCTCAACCGCCTGCACCACCAGGGGAGGTGGATTTCATACGGAAAGCCAGACATCTTACTGTTAAAAATGTAGAGACCAGTAAGCAAAATCAGAAAGTATATCAACTATAATTCTACCACTATCAAATTTTGGCATTTATCTTTCTAGTCATCGTAATCTGTTTTCTCCTGTGCTTATATAGACTCCCTCTTCTTTAAAAAAAAAGTTCTTTTCACAGAACAGTCTTGTCATAACATACTTATTACTCTACAATGTCTTCAATTATTGTGTGCTGTTCCGTTGTATGGCAATAATATTTATTTTTTAAAAAGTTATGTATTTATGCATACAAGAACTGGGGTACAGGCCAGAGATGTGGGGGTGGGTGGGTGAGAGGATTCACCAGAGACACAGTGGGGAGCAGAACAGACTGACTGAAATACACTGCTGAGGGGAGCAGCGGGCGAGACAGGAGAGGTCTGCTGCACCATATGGGTCGCTGCCTTGTGGGCTGGGGATTGGACTCGTGCTGCAGAGGCTGTGGATTGTTTCATAGCGTGGTGCTTAACCCTTTGCGCCACCAGGGACGCCCACTAAGAAGTAATCTTAACCTCACTGATGAAATTTGTTCCTTTAGAAACTGTGTTCCTCCCTGTAACCTAAGGAGGGATGGAAAATTATTAGGGAAAAGGCAAAATATATGGGATTGCTTTTATGGCCAATATCTATTGGAGAAAAGTCTCAAAGTAACTTAGTAATTATATTGCTGAGGAAGCAAGAAGCAAATGAGTGAAAGAATTTTAAAAATTTTTAGCATTTGTAGGGATTTAATAACAAATGATTAGATATGTACTCTTATTAAAGAAATTCAGAGCTCTCATCAAAATAAAGATTAGAAATGTGACTATTAGAAGGCAGAAGTAGTACTGCTTAAATCTATAGGCTATACTTCATGGTTAGTTTTTGTATGTATGTGTGTGTGTGCATGTATACATTTGTTTTTTTTTTGAAGGATTTATTATGATTCTAGATTTTAAAGTCCTTAAAAATGTTAAAGCTGTAGAATGTAGACCATAATAGACCTTTCTTTGCAAAGGAAGGAAGCCCATCTTCCTTGGTGCTTTTTTCCCCCATGCTTTTGATAAGATAAAACTTTTTCATTGTATTCTCTTTGAAATTATTTACTTAATGGGTACTTTTTGCTTGGTTTTTAGACATATACGTTATGTAACATGCATCAGGAACAAACCATAAATCTTTGTTTAAAAAAATTTCATGTAAAAAAAATGATTTCTGATGTGTTGCATTTCTTCCCTTTGATATATTTTATCACAATTCATTGTCATATCACTGTTTAGTGGTTGTTTAATTGCATATCTGGTTGGTCTGTATGTAAATCTACTTAACATAGTTGTCTCTAAAACAGGAATCTTACCCATCTTCTTCGCCAATATGGTTTGTGGACTCTGATGACCCAAATCTTACAACAGTTCTAGAACGTCTAGAAGATACTAAGAACAACAGTTCGGTGAGAAAAATAAATCAAGCTTTTTTCTTTTTTCTCTATGAACATTACACATAGAATTTAAGTGCTAAGAGATTGTATGATATAAAAGCTTGATTAATTAGATTATTTGGTGATCTAGGAGAGCTAAAGTCCAGGGCATTTGTGTTGTTTTGTTTTAGTTCTTCAGATTTAATTTACTACTACCTGGTTTTCTCTTTATTCTCCATAAGTATAGTCTTAATTGAGGTCAGGATTTAAATGGTCTCTTTTCCGTGAATTCTAACCATTAAACCAAGCAAGCATTTTTGGTAGGGACTGCTAGCCAAGGTGGGGTAGAAAATGGGAAAAAAGACTGAGGTGTAGGTATGAGGGGAAATAAAGATACAGTGACACCAATTCTGGTGTTAGGGAATTGATTTTTCTATCAAGAGTTTATAACTCTGCGGTAAAAGCCAAGTAATGCAAATAAAAATATTTTTAAAAATACATAAATAAATATAACTGGCCATTTTACAACAATTGTAAAACTAATTTGATTACGAAACTAATAAGTGACCATTGTAAGAGAACTGGTAAAATAAAGCAAAAAAAAAGGGAAAGAAAAATAGTCTATAATTTCTCTACCTGATAGCCATCATGTAAACAGTGGTTATATTTTAGTTGTATATATACGTTTAAATAGTTGAGATCATATTCTACATATCCTTTTATAAAAGTTAACTGCATCATTATTGTATGTTGCCATTGTCATAAAATCACTATAGAAAAATGTCAGTCATTATTTGATATGATTGTTTACCTAAAAAAAATTTAAAGTAATCAACTGAAAAAACATTTTAAGATAATTAGTTAAAAGCTCTACTATATAAAAATCCATACTTTTCACAAATATCAGTTATAGCCAGATAGAAAATATGGTGGAAAACTAGAACAAACATTAAATATCCTGGGATAGACTTAGATGTGCAGGACTTGTAGCAAAAGAACTACTAAAATTTGTTAATAAAATGAAAGACTTGACTACTGTGCTGCTTGATGGGCAGTCTCCATATTATAAATGTCAGCTATCGCCATTGCTATATGTTAATTTATAAATTGAAGGAAATTCTAGTAAAAATCTTGACATAGTTCTCGAGCTTGATAAAATGGCTCTAAATTTTGTTGTGAAGAATAATAAAAAATAATGACATTGAAAAAGTAGTGAGAGACTTGCTTAACCAAATATTAAATAAAATGAAATATTGTGTAATGACAGTGAACTGGAGAGCATTAGGAATTTCGCAGATGCACAGTTATGTAGTTCAGAATTTAGAATAAAATAGGGTTGGTATCTTAACTCAATACTATTTGTTCTACAAATAGTATTGGGAGAACTAACCATTTGGGAACGTTTGGAGCCTTCAGATTTTTGTTGAAATGTTATAGGTAGGTTAAATACATCTGTTCTTAAATTAAGAAGAGCACAACATCACTTTGAAGAGTATTTCAAGAGTGAAGGTTCGTCTGGAGAGCCATGAAGGTTGGGAGCAAAAATTAAAAGCCAGACAGATGCTCACCCGTATGTGCGGGAAGGAAAGAGTGCTTACATAGATAGAAGCTTTTTGGCTGCCATTTTGACAGTACCTCTAATGGTCTAATGATGGATGTTTGGTAAAAGTGAAAATGAGTGGAGTTATTTTTCAATGTCTAAAATAGTCCATTAATAAATGCTCATAAAGTAAAATGACACAGGATATGAAATAAAAAATTGCATCTAATTTTATAAGTAAATGTTTGTATAAAACAAAAATTGACCATATCCTCCACTCTTTCTTATAGTCTTTGCATGGTAGAAACCTAGCTTCTTGACAGAATAAGCTATATTCCATCATCTTTAATTCACTGAATTCACTATAATCTGGATTCTGCCTTCATTGTTATACTGAAACTTTCTATCTAGAGACTCCTTTTTGAGTTCTAAAATTGACTTCTCTTCAGCATTTGTTACTGTTGATTGTTCCCTTATTGAAACAGCCCTTCATTCAACATACATTTAGTTAACATCTACCAGTACAACTGGCAAGATAAAAATCACTGTGTATAGTTTTATGATAGAATTTTGAGTTGTAGTTAAAAATAATGCAGCCAATCTTCCCACAAGAGTGTATACAACTTTTCCAACATCTGTAAGTGAAAAAGCAAGGAATACTATATTGTCTATAATCTGGCCAAATTATAGACAAAATCTGTCTATAATGTTGACCAAAAAATTGATTTGCCAGTTTTTACATACTTCCTCCCCCGACCCTCCACCCCAGGTGGATACAAGAAATTGTTAGAGAACATAGAAAAGTACTTTTTGAAATTGACTGATTTCTATGCCAGGCTCTGTAATAAGTGGTGGTTGTAAAAACAAGGTATGTCCAATCCCCTGGGAGCTGGGAATCTGTGGAGTACTTTCAGGTCACTGTCTCTGTATTTATCTGTCCCTGTATTTATCTCTCACTAACCTGCCTTGACCTACTGAGCTATTCTTTGTTCTGCTTCTTTCTTCTCATTTGGTGTTTTCTCTGAGTAATATCTCCTACTCCCATTACTTAATCATGGCCTATATTCCAGGGATTCCTAAATTTGTTATCTCTAGCTAAAATTTATGTTCCAAGTTTCAAAGCCATCTATCGGTATATCCTATAGATGTAGGGAATGTCAGTTGGTTGTACCTTGGCTGTTCAAAATGATTCCAGCTCAATTTAAAATCATCGACCTCCCAGTACTCCCCTCATCCCCATCACGTTTCCCTCAGTAATTCTCTTGATGATGTGCTTGTGAATGAGGCAAAGTGAAAAAATGAAACTCTGCATCCATGCCTTAACCTGTTAACTATCTTAGAGTTCTTTTATACCAGTGTTTCAGGACACTTTCCTCCCCAGGTATCTAGTAACTTTCTAAGACCTCTCTGTCTACCTTCTAAATATTTCTTAAATCTTTTCTCATGATCTTAGTCACATTTTTTGGGAATATGTAAAGTCGAAATTCCTGCAAGACATGACACCCTGTTGTTGTTTCTGCCTCCCCCATTGCACTCCTGTAGCTCTTCCTTGGCCCAGGGTTTGGAGAAGTGGGGTCTGTGCAGGCTAGCCTGCCTCATCTTTCTCATGCACTTAACACTAAACACAGTTTATTAGGTATAGAGCAAATCCACACTGGGGCTTTGCTTGAGGATTTTTTTTATCCTAATTTACTGTTTAACTTTCCTCAGTTTTACTTGCTCCTTTGCCCACTTTGGAGAGGTTTATTCTTTGCTTGTTTAACCCATTCTCATCTGTGTCTGTTTTCTCAGCCCTTCATAAACTTGCTTCCATTTCTTTCTCTCTTTCCTTATTTAGAAACATTGAGGAAATTTTTCTACCCAAGTGAAGTAAATTGCCTCACTAGTTCTATTGAGTATTAACTATTCTTCTCAAACCATAATTGGCCAAGCTTGTACATTGAAGGCAGTTTTTCAAACTTTGAAAAACATGTTTGTGCATATAATCTGCCTGCTTACTTGCTTCAAATAAATATGCTCACAAAACAACCTGGATTTAAAAATGAAACTTTAAGGAGTTATCTTTTAGTTTTCCTGGTATAGTTTTCTTTTCTTTAGACAGAATTAAGAGTCTACTAAATGTTAAGTGTTTTCACAGAAATCAGTCTGTACTGTTATGAGAAGGTTTTCATTTCCTAGTACAAATGAGGAAACTCAAACTCTAGCAGTAAGTTTACTGTATCGTAGGTCATCTAGATTTCAAGGCTTTATGTGTGAGACCTCATTTGACTCTGTTCTTTCAAATGAATATAACTATGGAATATATGATTTTAGAAACTACATGCAACAACACTGCTTTTTTTTTTTTTTTTTTTTTTTTTTTTTGGTAACCTCATTAATGGTACTTTAGTCTGAAGTTGTAAGTTTCTAAGAAAAGTTAGCAACTGAAAAGCAGTGAGTGTCTGGCTCTCCCCTTCTGCCTTTTAGTTGATTTTGTTCTGCTCGGTGTCAGTTGTAGCGATCACGCTTGCGCCATAGTGACTTTCTTATATTAGCAGTCCCTAAAAATAGTTTTTAAAGACTGATACTTTATTTGTAGCCTGTAATTGAGCAGTTACATGCCTTTTTCATTTCCCACTGGACTAGTTACATTAATCATAATGTTATTCATGTCTTCTGAGGACTAACATGATGCTTATTTACTGAAATATGTTTTGTAGCTTCGTCAGCAATTGAAGTGGTTGATATGTGAACTCTGCAGATTATATAACCTTCCTAAGCACCTGGATGTTGAGATGCTAGATCAACCACTACCCACGGGCCAGGTAATGTAAACATTCTCTAGTGCTCAAGAACTAAAGTAAATTGTCTCAAGTAAAAGTAAAAGTAGGGTGATTTTTCTTCTCAATATTATATTAATGAGGTTACAACTTATTTTGAGTTTTTGCTTTCCTGTTGAAATGTTTTGTTCTGTTTTAGGCACTAAAAATAACCTTTTTATTTGATGTAAATAATTGTCCCCACCCACCACTGCCTTTTTGTTGCTGTTGATGTCCCTGCTTTCCTTGACTGTTCCTCACTTCCTTCAGTTGTTTGCCTTTGCTTACTCATTTTTCTTGCCCTGGTGTACCAGCTGTGTAAGCTCAGCTGTTCTTCTTAAGGCCTAACCTCAAGTGGTTTATCTCCTCCAAGCAGCAGAAGTGCCCACTTGCTCACCAACAACACTAACTTTTCTGGATTTCTGGATTTACCAATTTAGGCATAATATATTGACTTGTACCATAATAGGTAGTATTTACCCCTTATACCACCTACCTCACCTTCCTAAAACATTATACTCAGGCATATGAATAAACACGATCACTAGGATTTTGTACTGTAACATTTTCTACTACTTTTCCTTTCTTGTACAACGTTTTGTTTTGCACTTTGTCTTCCTTGATGATGATGGTGATGGTGATGATAATTCTTAGTTTAAAAATGTTATTTTCTACCCCTTTTCTGTGGGATCAGCATCTCTTCTGGAGCCTTTGGTTCTTCTGCTCCAGTCTTGGTGGGGTGTTTTCTGGGCTGGCTGTATAGCTGTCATCTTCAAATTTTTCTTGTCTCTTCTGCTAGAGTAAATCACTTACTTCCTGATCTCAGGCTATCTTTCTCAACTTACTCTTTCTCACTTTGCCTAATACATCCTCACGTAGAATCCTAAGAAAGTATGAAGTAATAGTACATTTTCTGAGTTTTAACTTCAAAAAAAAATATGGCCATACCACCAAAGGTTTGAATCTTGATTCTGCTGCTTATTAAGTTGTACAACCTTGGGCTAATTTCCTAGTCAATATGCATCAATTTCCTCTTTGCAAAATGAGGGAAATGGTAGCAGTACTTGTTTTGGGGGGAACTGTGAAGATTAAGTAAGTTAGCATATGTAAATGTTGTAGAGCAGTGCCCTGTATATAGTAAACGGTTAATATATGTTAACTACTGAATAGTGTACCTCCATACTTGATTGGTAGTTTGGTTGAGTATATAATTCTAGGTTGAAAATAATTTTTTTAACGATTTATTTATTTATGCATACAAGAGATGGGGTACAGACCAGAGATGCAGGGGGTGAGAGGATTCACCAGAGACAGAGTGGGGAACAGAACAGGCAGACTGACTGAAATACACTGCTGAGGGGAGCAGCAGGGAGACAGGAGAGGTCTGCTGTGCCATGTAGGTTGCTCCCTGGCCGGCTGGGGATTGAACTCGTGCTGCCGAGGCTGCGGATTGCTTCATGGTGTGGTGCTTAACCCCATGCACCAACAGGGAGACCCTGGGTTGAAAGTAATTTTCCCTCAGAATTTAAAAGTCTGTGTTATATTTTTTAGCCAGTGGTATTGCTGAAGCCTGGCACCATCTGTATTCGTATGGCTTTCTGGATGCTTTTAGGAGTTTGTCTTTTCCAGAAATATCACAGTGGTATACTTAGCTGTGGTCTTTTATTTTTCCTCATTGCACCTCAGCACTCAGTATGGATGGGTCTTTTTAAACAATGTTCTTATTTTTTGTGTTTTTGTTTTTGTTGATAGCATTTTCATTTTGGAATGTTTACTAATGGAATTTTAGACCTTTTTTGCTTAGTCTTTGTGTCTATACTTTGTGTCTCAGTGTATTAATTACCTTTGTCTTTTAACTAATTTCAAATTCTGGAAGATTTATCTTTCAACTTTTGGCAATTGTGCCAGTTGATTCAGCTTAGCATGGCAGTTTTTCTGCTCGTCTCATGGTACAATCAGGAAATTACTGGGACTAGGAGTCATTAGCTGCGTGACTGCATCATATCCATGATGGTTTCTTCATACACGTGTCTAGGATCTTGGTGTTCTTCACTGCTGCAGGAGGCCTTGTTGCTCCAGCCAGATAGGATACTGACAAGCAGCAAAGAGAAAGGGCCTCACACTGTGGGGCTGAAGATCTGGCATTCCTTTGCTTTTTGTTCTTGGTCATAGAGAGAGAAAAATTTATCAGAAAGTATATTAGGCAATAAATTATATGTATCAGCATATTGTAAGTAAATAGCATGAAAAATTGTTTAGAAATTAGTTGTTGGGCAGTTTGGCCCACTTGACAATGGGAGATGGTTTGTTGAACATGCCTGACAAGCATTACAATTCAATAATTACAGTGGGTCCTTCTTTTGCCTTCTCTTGAAGTTTCTTGGGAAAGTTTTTAAATGAAGCTATTTGAGTTAGGAGTTTCTAAATAGAAAAAGTTCTGATACCTGAGTAGCAGCCAGCTCCTGCTGTGAAGGCCATGAGAATAAGAAAAGTTTTTTCTTGCTTAGGCTTTGGCTGATAGGGATGTACTGGCGGCTATCTACTGTCTTAGGTTATGGTTTGGTTGAAACAATGAGTTCTAGTGTAAGGCTTAGTTTTTTATTAGCCTTGAAGGTTGCCTTCTTGCTGAGAGCATGTAGTGGTCAAAAGCCCATAGAAAAAGAGATGCACTGATTGTTTCTGCTTTGTTTCTATGCACATGATAATGTAATCTCAATGCTTGCAAAAAATGTATAAATAAAGAACCTGCTGAGCCTTTTGGGCAGAAGATACTAACACCTCACCAAGTGTCGGTGTCTCCTCATTCTACCTCATCCCCTTCCCCTCAGCCCCTAAGTTTCAGATCATTCGTATTCGCCGAGGCCGTCTCATCCTTTCAGGAACCCTGACACGACATTTTGCCGGAGGCTGGTCCCCGGCACTTCACAGCTTCTTAGAGCATGAAAATAGAAACTGCACACCTTAAGGCTTAGCTCTAGAACAGATCAGTGTCATTTCTACCACGTTTGTTAGTTGAAGGATTAAAGTGACTCATAGCATCAGCCCAGGTTGACTGTGGGAGGGATCCATGTGAGGAGATGAATGTTGGGAGTGTGTTTCGCTGGAGTCGGCTCCAAAGATGAACCTTTGTTTTCAAGAGCCTTTTCTTATTCTCTGGTTCCTACTCAAAGCATTGTTTTTATTTTCATAGATAAGTGTAAGTCTCTTTAAGGAATTCTTTTAATACTTTTGTTCCATTCTCCCTATTTTCTTTTTTTTTCCCCTAATGTATCTTGTTTTCCTAGTTTTTCTTTTTAAAGACTTCCCCCAAATGCCTGTTCATTCTGTTGCACTTTCATAGTTTTGTTCTTCCTTCTTTTTTTCATTCATATTTGAGAGAGATACTAAAGCTGATTGGGAGTTTTTTGTGGCCAAGACCTGTCAACTGATAGCTTTTAGGAGGAATTTATACACACTAGATGATGACTGGAGCATACTAAGTTCCTCTGAATGTAAAACCTTGGAGCCTTTTGCTTGAAGTAAGTGTATGTCACTTGGGGTCTGCTTAAAGAGCTGGGGGAGAGCAATTTGTTTTGGGGACTGGATGATATGTTCTGTATGTAGGCTTTTGGTCAATCTCTCTGTTTTTAGTCTTTTCCATTCCTTAGGTTGTCTACTGTTTCTTGTCTTGGAACCCAGAGCTTCTCCCAAAAACTGCAGGAAAAATTAACTCTTTATTATTTATATCCCCTTAACCTGTGGCTTCACTTGATTGTTCCATTAATTACTATTCCTTCATTCACTGTAATTTTCTGGCATGAATGCTCTTTTCTGCTGGAAGCCTTGTAGCTTTCCTTGTTATCAATGTGTGTTTATATAATGTCTATTCTTCACTGAAATTCTAGTGGAGATTCAGGAAAGAGAGAGGCTGAGAGAAATATAGTCTGTTCAGTTTTACTTCTCTGGAATGTTTACAACTTAGAGTTTTCACTTACCAATATGTCATGGACATAATGCATAGATATGCCTTGTTTTTCATGGCTATATGTAATAATTCCATGTAGGAATATAACATAACTTGTAGATTACATTAAGTTTCTACTTTTAAATCATTTTTGCATTCCCATAATAAGCACTCAGCACCTCTGTAGGTGACAGGGTAGGATATGATGTTTCATTTTTTTTTAACTTTTCCACTTCAAGATAGTAATATATATTTTTTTAATTGGGCTCTTCTTGTTTCATTTTGATAGCAGGGTTATGCATTCTCAAAATGACTTGGAAAGCATATGTATTTTCTAAGTGCTACGATAGTTTAATTTTCAACTGAGGCCATTTTGCCTCCCACAGAGCATTGGAAAGATCTGCGGATATTTTGACTTTCACAATGACTTGCGGGGTGTTATTGGCACTTTGGGGTCAAGGAATTGTTACTAGAAATCCTACTGTGTCAGGATAGCCCCCAATAACACAGAATTATCTGTCCAAAATTTCAGTTCCAATGTTGAAAGGGCCTCATCTGAATAAACATACAATCTGAACTGATTTGGGGGTAGAGTCTCTGGCTATCTTTTGTCTTCTATGTATTAGTGTATTCAGATTTTTTCTACTTCAGTCACTTTCGGTAACTTCAGAGTCTAAACAAATAATCACTTTATACATTATAGGCCGTTATGGAAAGTATTTACAATTTGTTTATCTTCATCTGTGGTTATAAGCCTCTGTTTATCTCTAAATTTTTTACCTTGATTACTTGTCAGAGGCTTGTCTGTTTAAAGAATTAACTTGAAAGTGTTTCTTTTTAATCTGATAGTTTCTTTTTTATGTATTGCTCATGTCATAGTTAGTCCTCTTTTCATTTTATTTTGCTTTTTGGTTTATTGGACCAATGAGATTTAAAGTGCTTTGTAATCAAACAGGATAAACACTTTCTTCAGAGTTTGATTTTATCACACAGGTTTTAAAATTTAACCTACTTATTTCCTAAATAATTTGTATTTCATAAGTAGATACAACTTTTTGTTCATATTACTCTTGTTATATTTCACAATAAAATGTTTTTTAAAATACATATTGAAAACATATCAACGTAAGATTAGTTTAGCAAATAGTTGACGTGAATACCTGGAAACCAGCACTATAGAAACCTCCTGGAGGTTCCTTCTAAATCACCGTTCCCATGTTTGCTGATCTTTCCTTACTTTTCTCTAGTTTTATCACTTATATGTACATTCCTAAACAACATAGTATAGTATAGTGTTGCCTGTTTTGAGCTTCATATTATGAGCTATCACTACTATATGTGTATTCTTTTATGTCTGCTTTTTGCTCAACATTGTGTTAAATTTCTTTATATTTTGTATTGCCATCATTTTTTCATTGCTATATTTATGCCATTGTTTGAATATACCATAACATATTCATCCATTTGACTGTTCACAGAAATTTGGGTTGATTTGTTTGTACTGGGAATGTTGTTATCATGATATTCTTATCCACATTTTGTGGTATACCCAAGCAAGCATGTACTTAGGATTTAGATTATTGGGGCATGACAGTCAACTCATAAGTTATTTAGGAAAAAAAAAGTTTGGCATTCTCAGATAGCATTTGGCTATTTGTATTTTTCCCTCTGGTCAAAGAATACAGCCTGTAACCTTTCAGCAGCATCCAAGCAATTGCTTAGACTTAACCACTAGTCTTACTGTAGTCTTTGCTTATTGCTGTTTCTTGTATTCCATTCTTCTGCCCTTCTGAAATACATTCCTGAATAATGCCACCTGTTTTATTTTTCTAGAAGGGGTTTATGAGAATGTATATGAAAAGTGTTTCTAGAGTAGTCAGTGTCTGTTTTTATTATTCATTCAACAACTATCTCTTGACTGTGTAACTCCTCTGTGGAGATGCTGAGGATTACAAGACACAGAAGTCTAAGTTCATAATTGAGTGGCTTCAGATTCTTTAGTTTTATATTATTCCAGTATTGTTACAGAAAGAAAATCTGATGCCTGTCTGATTCTTACTTCTGTTGATTTTTTCTTTCTGGAAGTTGGTATGGTTCTTGCATTAACATTACTTTTTGATATTCCCTTGGGAAGTTCTGATCCATTTAATATTCTGAGGCCCTTCCTTTCTTAAGTTTTTACTTTTATGTCTTCTGGACGAATGTGGATGAATATAAGATCTCTCTTTTCCTATCTTCCATTTTTCATATCAGTTTTCTTATTTCTATCTCTACTTCTCAGAACCTGTTCCCACCTCTTTTTCTTCACATTCTAAAGGAATCTCATAATTTAGTTGTCTTCTTAATCAGAAATGTTTTGTTCAAATTCATTTTGTTCTCTGGTCCTTCTACTGAGTCATTTTTGTTTGCTTTTCCTTTCTCTTTTTTGAAGGAGAGAAGGATCCTTTGGTATCCCAGAGTCATCTTGCCTATTGTTATCTGTTGTTATTTTATGGATGCAATATCTTAATTACTGCTCAAGATTCCAAATAGACTTTTTTGTATTAGTACAGTAATTCTGTATTAAATCCTTCATTAGTAACGCTTCAGGTCATTTATTCTGCTGTTTAATTTGGTACCTTTCTTTCAGATTACCAGTTTTCTTCAGATATATGGTGATACTAGTTATCTGCTCATTTACAAATGAGATATTCCATTGATCAGTGTCAGTTGTTGATATGAGTTTTCCTTAGCAATTGTTCCTCCTCTCTGCTCTGGCCTTCCTCTTCCTGGTTTGCACATCTGTGCTCTCCCTATGGGAGGTTCTGGCAGTTGAATTTAACAACTCCTGAGTGAAAGGAAGAGATTATATCATGAACTTTTGCTGCTGCAGTGAGTTACATTAATAGAGTCTGCCTTTTCTCTTTGGTTCTGGCATCCACACTAAAAGACTATCAAAGTAGGCCTCCTAGATAAGAGAATGCTCCTTATCAGCTGTAGTTAGCACAAATACAGCAAGAATTTCTGTGGAATGGAAAATCCAGCTAACTTTATGCTGTTGCTGGGAACTTGTCTTTTTGAACTTTGCCAAAACTAGGTATGAAAGCCCTTCCTTAAAACCCCAAAGATTCATTGTGTATTAGCGGTAAATTGTGCCATATAGAGAATTATAGTAACAAGTTGTAACTAAGTTTGCGAGATGGTGATCATTTTATAACTTACTTTTGAGAAGTGTCTGTTTCTTTAAAATGCATATGATCTTCCTCAATGTAAGGCAGTTAAATTTATGCAGAGATTCAGCCTTTTTAAGTTTAAAAAGGGATCTGTTTTGGGGTATTTATTTTAATGGACAAAATAAAGGTCATTGATCTCTTACACATAACATTTGTGTAAAATGTTTTTTTTTTTAAATTGGTTATGTTTAAATTCTTTTTCAGTTTTGCTTTGTTTAAAGTTGTCTATTAGATTGAAAAATCCTTTTTCAAAGCTGATAAACATTATTAAAGCTGGATTTAAAATAGATATGTTAATTTTAATAAACTGTGTTATTGGTACTAAAGTCTCCATGTACTGAGTGTGTGTTTACTTGTTCTAGAGTGCCTTGGCAAATTCTTTTTCTTTTCAGAATGGGGTAACAGAAGAAGTGACTTCAGAAGAAGAGGACGAGGAAGAGATGGCTGAAGTAAATCTTTCATATGATAATTACGTTTTATGAATATCTTTATTTTTGAGCACTGTAGACATTCTCTAAAGAGCCTTTGTAAACCAGTGCTAATGTAGCATAATAAAAAGTGCGTTGTACTTGGAATTGAATATAGTTTTTAAAATCTGGCATTACTTCTAATTAATCGTATGCTTATGTGTTGTCCTTGAATTTCCTTTTCTGAAAAATAAGAGATCTTAACATTTAACACTAAAATTATACTCATATTTAATATTAATCAATATTAACCTACAGTGTAACCTTTATTTGGTTGTATTTAAGAAGAGAAATTCCTCTAGGTTACAAAGGTTGAGCATTTGAAGGAAAAGAGAATTTGGAAACTTTTCATGTACAACTTAGCATAAGAAAGAAAACTTATTGAAAAATCATCTAAGAATTTCATAGAGAAAATTGCAAAGAGGTTGAGCTTAGGCCAGTTTAGTTGCCAATCATTGATGTGATTTTGGAAGTTTTTAGACTCTGAGTTTGGTATTTAAATTGAAGTTCAGAATAAAGAGCTGTGTCTCTGTGTTGGCCAGATAAAATGTGTTTGCGTTGCACAGTCTTGGCTTCAAAAATGTCTTTGCTGTTTTAAATCTTAGAATTAATTTAGATTATTACATTATTTTCTTGAGTATTAAAATCATCTAAAACATTTACCTTTGAACTAAAGAACTAGCTATGGGTTGGTTTTGTGAGTCTGGATGTAAAATAATTCTAAATGTGTCCAATTGGAATGACTTCTTGGAGCAGAGGTTGTTTTTAATGTGTCATGCAGTTTAACTTAGTTGAAATAAACCGCATGAAAACCTGAAATCTTTTCTGCTGATTAATACTCCAGTGGAGAAGTTTTGTGAGTAGGAATGAGACCGAGGTTGAAGGTCAAGGAGAAGATGGTGGCTAAGGGCATTTCTCAGAACTCTGAGGTAAACAAGTATAGGATTGAAGATCAGGACTAAAAGGTGCAAACTAGGCAAAGGTTGCTCCATGAAGCATGGAGTCATGGACAAGGTCTGAATAAAAAAGGGAAGAGATGGGGCTTGAAGAGATGGAAGTCCAAAAAAAAGACTATTGGGTATGGAGGGAGGCGGTCACCAGCCTGCCCTAGAAATCAGTGAATTAGTCTGTTTGAAGCATGGAGATAGTATATATTAACTGCTCCTTTAGAGATTTGGTGATTGAAGTAAAGAGGAGTAAGAAAGTAGAAAAAGGCTAAGATTTTTAAAATTTTGTAGATTTATATACTGGTAAAAGCAGATGATATGTGAAAGGAGTGTTTAGAAGGATGTGATTAAAGGTGCTGACCTAAGGATATATTCATATTCTTATATTTTTCCTAACTGTCAAAATCAACACACTGCAGAAAACATGGAAAAGAAAAAGCACTAAATAGAGTTAATTATTATAATTTCAGTAAGTGTTCTTCCAGTCTTTTTTACCTTTATTTTGGCACACTTGAGATTCTGCATATTCAGTTTTGTATTGTATTTTTCATTTCATTATTGATGTGGAAGAAGCCATTATGCTATGTTGGCATTTCATAGTCTTCCAGTATTCCATGGAATTGAGTTATAAAAATATAAAAATCTGATATTTTTATACCAGCAGATTTGTGTGTATTTGTGTGGTTATAAATATTTATACCTAAATTTGTGTTTACATTTTAGACTAGGTTTTTTGTTTCTTTATACCATGGATTTCTAAAAGCTGAGTTGCTAGAGCTAATTAGGAACCATTAATGTCCTTAATGGCTGATGCTAACCTGTTTCATAAGTGCCTTTTAATAGGAGATTGAAAAGATGTCTTATTTAGTAATACTGAAGCATGGTGACTTGGGATAAGCAGCCTGGGGGCCTTAGTAACAACCTTTTGCTCAGTTCCTGGTGTGCAACATAGTCCCTGACAGGAATCTTAGATCATGTGCTGCCATGAGACAGGATGGACCTGGGGGGTCCCATGACTACTGAAACTTCACTCCTCCTTGATATGCAACTGTACGACTTACCTCTCAGTATGCAGCCATGTCATGTTTGACCATGTATAGCTCCCAATGCAAACCCACCTGAAATATTGTAGAAACTGAAAGTGTATACAAGCCCCTACAGACGGGACTCAGCTTTGGGATACGAATCCTCTGAGTCAGCACTGGTGCATTGAACCTGCTTCTTGTTAGCCCTGGTGTCCGCGTTTCCTTTGTGCCATGTAACAATACTTATGACTTTATAAAGCCATTAAGTATTCTTTACTCAGACTCAAGCTTTTAAACAAAACACAGGATGTAAAAGGAGAACCCTTTTGAATTGAGTGTGAAGAAGGCTTTTTTGCCTGTCACCATAGAATCACGTATTCTCCCTTTTGTTTTCCCTGTTAGGTCAAGAATAGTTTTACTTTTGTCATAAAGTTGAATAAGCTAATATTTTCCATATTTTTGTAGGATATAGAAGACTTGGATCACTATGAGATGAAGGAAGAAGAGCCTATTAATGGAAAAAAGTCAGAAGATGAAGGAATTGAAAAAGAAAATTTGGCAATATTAGAGAAAATTAGAAAGACTCAAAGGCAAGACCATCTAAATGTAAGTGTATAAATCTCGTTAACTTGGGCTTTTGTGGTTAAATAATTACAGAGCAATACATTCAGCTAACCATCTCAGCTGCCCTCCTCCATTCCTGTCTTGAATGTGAATTCAGCCATGTTTTGTCACCCTAGTTTTTTTTTTTTTTTTTTTAAGATTTATTTATTTATTTATACAAGCACCGGGTACAGTCAGAAGTGTGCGAGGGCGAGAGAATTCACCAGAGTCAGAGCGGAGAGCACAGCAGGCAGACTGACAAAGTACACTGCTGAGGGGAGCAGTGGGCACAGCAGGAGAGGTCTGCGCGCCATGTGGGACCCTCTCGGTGGCTGGGGATTGAACTACTGCTGCAGAGGCTGCGGGCAGCTTCGCAACCCAGCGGTCAACCACTGCGCCACCAGGGAGGCCCCACCCTAGTTTTTTTAAAAAAACTTTTTTCATCTTTTGATAGCTACTTTCCTGTTCATCTGCTTTTCCCATCCTGCTATCAACTACTGCTTCCTGTATATGCTCCCTTTCCAACTTGTTTATACTGTTTGTTTACCCTCCTCCTATGGCATATATATATTTAAATCAGTCTCTCTACAAAGTACAATTCCAGTTCTTCTCTGTGAGGCTGACTTTTGGCCTGTCTTGCCTGACCAAACCAAAAGTAGCTTTTTCCTTTGTGTTAACATCTCTTTTTATATAAGATGCAGCATGAGGGAGTTAACTGAACACTTGAGTTGATAACAACCACAACTGTGTGACTGTTAAATGTGGAATGCATGCTTTTTGAGATATTGCTGTGAAGAATAAATGAGAATGATGCATACAAACACCTAGACTGAGCAGGAAAATATCAAATGAGAATGTAGCTCTCTGTCTCAACACTACTTACAGAGAGCTATTTATCAACTCCATGAAATTTGAGTACCAGTTCCTTTGTCTTGAGCACGGGTTTTAAACACAGGAAATGAATTGTTATGCAAGAATATACTGAGTTTTGTAAACAAGTAGATTTCTCTTCTTTTTTCACTCTTAATTTACTATTATTAATTTGATAGATTTTTTTTTTAGCCTGTTCTTACCTTGATTATTTAAAAAAAAAAGTTTGTTGGCATCTAAATTAATGATTCTTACCATACTTTCTGTATCTTGCGATTGCTTACAGCTTGTTTGGTATAGTGAAAATGACTACAAATTATTAAACATTCTCACATTGCAGAGACTATGTTCAAATACTTTAACATTTCTGTACATTACCATTTAATCATTTTAATCACTGTGTGCAATATACTTTCTATTCTATAGATGTAAAACTAGACTCTAAGCCAGTTAAATAGAGGGTTCAAAGTCACTTGCCTAGGAAATAGTATCTTTGTAAACCTGATTTTTTTCTTCTTAAAGGGTAATGTAGCCATTAACATCTTAGATTTTATGTGATGAGTTTTCTTAGTTAAGGCATTCTAAATGCTTTTGTCTTATGATAAATAGTTCCATTGACTGAACTGTACATTGCATTCAAATGTACATTGGTACATTTTTATCTTTAGAGGAGTTCCAACACTGATAAGAACTAATATTGTTACAGAGCAACCCCGATATAAAACGGGTTGCCTGGTCGGGGTTGCTCCGTAACAATATCTGTTGCATACAGGCAATCATGTTCCTCAGTTTCTTAATGTGTACAACTGGACCTTTAGGATAACATTCTTGCTTATAGTCTGATTAATACAGCTCTCTTTTAATGTGTCGTGGTCTGAGGATTTTCTAGTGTTTTCAAAATGCTGTGGAGTCCTTACACACATAATAGCATGGACAAGATCAAGATCACTGACACTGCCAAATGCCTGTGTGGATGTTCAGCAACATTGCTGACGGGAATGCAGAAACGGTGCAGCTACTTTGAAAGGCAGTCTAACAGATTCTTACAAAAATAAACATGTTTTTATCATGCAGTCCATGTGTGTTCCTGGGTATTTACCCAAATGAATAGAAAACTTGTGTACACACAAAAACCTGCTCATGGGTGAATGTGCAAAAACCTGCAGCTTTATTCATAATTGTCAAAAATTGGAAGCAAGCAAATTATCCTTTCATCAGATACTAACAGTGGCATATTATTACCTGCTTAAAAAAAAAAAAAGAAATGAGCCTTTAAGCCATGGAAAGGCATGGAGAAAACTTAAACTCCTATTACTAAGTGAAAAAGCAAATCTGAAAGGCTGCACACTGCATGTTTCCAACTAAAGACAATCTGGAAAAGGCAAAACTATGGAGATAATAAAAAGTTTAGTGTATTCCATGGTTGGAGGTGGGGAAGGATGATTAGAGCATAGAGGATTTAGGGTGGTAAAAGTGCTCTATATGATACTATAGTGCTGTATCTATGTCATTAAACATCAAGAGAGAGCCTCAGATATATTGTGGACTTTAAGTGATAATGTATCAGTTTAGGTTCATCACATCAAAAATATACCTTTCTAAGAGTGATTTTGATAATGAGGGGTAGATACTACATTGAGTGGAATTTATATGGGAGGTCTCTGTACTTTGGATTTTGCAGAGATCCTAAAAATGAGCTAAAAAATAATATTTTAAATTAAAAACATTATAAAAATTTTCAGTTAATGGAATTTGAAATAGATACATAGTGAATTCTAGGGGCCATAGTGTTTTGGGTATATTGGTTAGACTTTTTTCCACATGATAAGAAATAGTAGATGAACCAGACTTGTCCCCAATTTTATATTCATATCAAAACTTCATGTCTTCATTTGATTGAACTTAGCAGTCTTGATTTGTTACAATGTTGAGGGTGATCCATTTTAAACTTTGATTTTAGGTTTCAGTGCCTTTTGATCTTATTAGACTCAGTAGATCCAGATTAACAGCAAATTTTATGTTTCAGGGTGCAGTGTCTGGGTCTGTGCAAGCTTCAGATAGACTTATGAAAGAGCTCAGGGACATATACAGATCACAGAGTTATAAAACAGGTGAGCATCTCTGATCTCCACCATCTCTGTTGTGCTTATGCTTTTAGCAGTTTCCCAGTAATTAAGTTCATGTCTCATACTTTAAGTGGAGAGGAACAGAAATGTGTATTTATGTGAAACACAAATTTAACTATGTAATGATAAGATGTAATGGATAGAATTGATGAGTTTTCCTTTTTTTTTTTTTAAATGTATTTATGGCTATATCACAGTTGTTGTTCTTACTTGTAAAAATTATTTCATGACTTTTATCTTCTGGGACTAGTACAAGTAATACCTGCTTTGGAAATCAAATAAGATGATTATATTTTTATAAGCAGAATTATGACCAAGTTAATTATATAATTGCTTTCCTTTTTTAAAGAAAAAAACATTTTTTGGTTATGTTCATTAACTCTTGTTGAAACAAGAGTTTCACGTATACAACTACCAGACCACTCAGGTTCAGGGAGCAACAGTGGGGCTTATTTAACAAACTGGGGGAAATAGAGTTTCCAAGGCCACAAGTGGCTGGCTGTTTCACCTCAGACCGTGTCCACAGTGTCCAGAAGACCCAAACAGAAAACTTCTCATTCAAGAGGGCAGTGCCCCTTCAGTGAGGGTCTAGAGATCATGGCATACCAGGAAGCAGTGGGCCAGAATCCAAGTCATGCTGGCAGCTGGAGGTGCTCAGAAGTGGGGATCACTGAGGTGACACTGCAGCAGCCCACAAAAGCAGTTTGAAGGCAAGGCTGGACAGCACTGGAAGCTGGACTGGACAGCAACAGAGGCAACAGCACTGGGAAGCAATGCCAGATGTCAGAGGTGGTGGACAGCCCGTCAAGGTGATCTAGACACACAGTGCCGGTCACCTGTCAACAGTACTGGCCAGTATTGCCAGTCACCACCAGTCACGAGGATGTGGTTTCAGAGCCACCAGTGTTAACAGCTCTTTGTGAGTTTTAGGCCTACACCAACAACAAGGAGATCTTTGGGACATGACACCAGGCCGGGGGCCATTTGTGCTCCTTTCAAGCAATGTCAGAGGCAAGGCCTGAGGCAGGTGTAGTAGCCAGGTCTCTGTGCAGCAATGCAGCTTCTCTTCTTTCTTTGAAGGTAGGCTGCTAGATTCTTTTTTCTTCCAAGGCCAGGAACAGGATCATCTAAGCTGGCTCCTGCCCTGTCTTAGGCTCTTTCATTTTCAATTCTAAGTGACTGATTGGACCTCTTAGAACCAATCAGCCTATTCTTGATGTTCAATATGAATAATTAACTAATAAGCTGATTGAACCTGGTTGGTTCATTTAGCTCACACCTGGTTGGTCCAGTCTGCAATCCACATGCCAAATATAAAAAGGAAAACTTGGTGACTGCACAGAGCCAACCTGCCCTAACCTCAGGGCAGGCTCATGGGCTCAATAGACTGCAAAGCTAGCGTCAGTGGGGCCAGAGGCTCTGTGCACCTAGTGGTCCTCCAGTAGGGCCACGTGTTACAATGTGAAAGGTGGAAGGTGGACCTACAGATGGGCTCCACTGGGAGCCTACCCTTGTTCCTGGGACTACATAGGCGGCTTTGCTGCCTGCAAGAGCCACCGTGCTGGATCTCCCCCAGTGAGGTCCATGCTTTTCCCTGCAGCCCTGAACTAGGGGTAACAGGAAAACCCTGCCTCTGCAGTCCCAAAGGGGCTACATGATAGGGAAACCACTGCTGCTATCCATTGCTGGCCTCTGCCTGCAGCCTGAGCCACAGTGGATCCACTGATAGCAGGTAGTAAAATACCTCCCACTGTCTCACACTTGCACTGTCCACAACAGCTTCTCAGGGTTGGTGCCAGAACCCTGAGGGGGTGGTGCTCCCTGTGCTCAAATCTGGCTATGGAGCCTGGACAGCACCAATCCTCCCTGTAGCCATCCTGTAACCTTCTGCTGCAAAGCGACCTGGGTGCTGCCCAGAGGCCAATGGGGAAATTCCCTTTCTGTCCCTGGAGTTTAGGCTCAGTGCTCAAACCGGTCTGGTGCTCAGTGGAGGGGCTGCCCATAGGTATCCACTCTGGCATGTGCAGTTGACTGCCACCACGTCAATGGCTTCCACTGCTTAGGCAGCTGTGGGAAAGAACCAGTCTTGCCCTGTGGTTTGTGCTACAAAGCTCCAGGTTCATTGTTATAGAGTGTTGCTTTAAGCTAGGGGTGTTGACTTAAGATACTCAGGTTCAGTGACAAAATATTCACAAATAACTTGAGTTTTTCCATGTTTTAATAGCAAATTTTTTTGCTTTTGCGCTTTGTTTGGTATACCTTTACATCATAATAATAGTTACAAAATCAAATGAAAAATAACATGTCCTCTATCTTTACAGGAATTTATGCAGTGGAACTCGTAAATGACAGTTTATATGACTGGCATGTTAAACTGCAGAAGTAAGTGGCTTTTTTTTTTTTTTTAAAGATTTATTTATTTATTTATTTATACAATCACTGAGTACAGTCAGAAGCGCAGGAGGGTGAGAGAATTCACCAGAGCCAGAGCGGGGAGCAGAGCAGGCAGAAGGACCGAAGTACACTGCTGAGGGGAGCAGCGGGCGGCAGGAGAGGTCTGCGCGCCATGTGGGATCCTCCTCCAGTGGCCGGGGAGCAGCCGGGGATCTAACCGGCACTGCAGAGGCCATGGGCAGCCACGGGGAGGCCCAGTAAGTGGCTTTTTAATGCTAACCCACTTTTTTTTGTAATGGTAGACTCTCATAATGGAGATTCCCTATGTAACTATTAACTTCTTCTCCCTAGCTCCCCATTTGACACCTTTATACTATGACTTTTACTTAGAACTTTAGACCCTCTTTCTTTAGAAATACTTCTCAAGGTGTTAAAATGAGCTGTTTCTTAGGCCTAATAATAACTGAGAAGTAGAACAGGAAGCACCAATATTGGGATAAAGTGTTTCATGAGTTAGACAGTTAGGCATGATAGAAACAAGGGTAAGAGTGAAGCCAGGACTACAGTGGGAAGGGACCAGCAGCCCCATGGGGAGCAGCAACTACCCGAGAGAGTGCCTTTTGGCCCACACACAGCAGCAATAGAGTTGGCGCAAAATCCCTACAAGCCGACACCCCCCTCTCCTCCCCAGCCCTGTGAGTGAAGCATGGTAGGTAGAGGGAGGGCCCAGCAGCACAGAGAGCAGCACCCACACAGGAGGGTGCCTTTTGGCCCACACACAGCACCAGAGACTGTGTGACCTTGATGGGGTGACACTGAAACCGCCCAGCCCACTGAGTGGAGCTAGGCAGGGAGAGAGTGCCCAGCAGCCCCACAGGGAGCAGCAACCACCGGGGAAAGTGCCTTTTGGCCCATATACACCACACATTTACTCTGACCATAAGGCATAAAATTAGAAATCAACTATGAAAAGAAAGCAATGAACACTGCCCCCACCCCCATTACATGGAGACATACTACTGAATGACCACTGGATCAATGAGGAATTCAGGAAAGAATTTAAGAAATACATTGACTAAGAGGACACTGCTTTCCAGAATACATGAGATACAGTAAAAGCAGCAATAAGAGGAAAGTATATAGCAATAAACACCCACATCAAGAAACAAGAAAGAATTAAAAGAAAAACCCACCTTATCTCCCATCTTGAGGAACAACAACAACAACAACAAAAAAAAAACAACAACCCTAACCCAGTAGAAGGAAGGAAATAAAAAAAGTTCAAGCATAAATAAATGAAATAGACCAAAAAAAGACAACCCCAAAAATCAGTGAAACCAAATGCTTATTCTCTGAAAAAAATAACCAAAATAGACAAACCTCTAGCCAAGCTCACAAAAGAAAAAAAGGAGAAACTCAAATAAATAGGATCATAAATGAAATCAGAGAAATTACAACAGACACAGCAGAAATCCAGAGGATAATCAGATTCCTATGAACATTTATATGCAAACAAGTTCAACAATATAGATGCGATGGACAAATTCCTAAAACTATATAATCCAAAGCTGAGCTGAATAAAGAAGAGAAAGAAAACCTAAATCATCCAAAGCTGAGTAAAGAAGAGATAGAAAACTTAAATCAATTACAAGTACCTAAATCAAAACAGTAACCAAAACCCTCTGCAAAAACAAAAGCCCTGGTCCAGATGGTTTCACAAATGAGTTCTACCAAACATTCCAAGATAAACTGGTACCTATCCTACAAAAACTTTTCCAAAAAATTGAGAACAAAGGAATACTACCAAGTACATTTTACGAAACCAAAATTACCCTAATACCAAAACCACACACAAAAAGGAAACTACAGACCAATCTCCCAATGAACAGAAAAGCAAAAATACTCAACAAAATCCTAGCAAACCTAATCCAACAAGGAATCAAAATAATTATACATCATGACCAAGTGGGATTTATACTAGGGACACAAGGATGATTCAACATCTGAAAATCAATTAATGTAATTCACCACATCAATCAAAAGAAAAATAAAAACCATATGATCACATCAATAGATGCTGAGAAAGCATTTGATAAAATTAAACAACCATTTATGATGAAGGCCCTCTTAATTCTTGAAAAAGAAGGAACATACTATATTAACTTAATAAAAGCCATATATGACAAACCCACAGCCAATATCATTATTCATGGTGGGGAACTAAAATCCTTCCCTTTAAGATCTAGAACAAGGCAAGGATGTCTATTCTCACCACTTTTTTTCAATATAATACTGTAAGTTCCAGCTTGAGCAATTAGGCAAAAGAAAGACATGAATCCAAATAGGAAAAGAAGTAGTAAAACCATTACAGGGCAGGGAGAGGGGCAGCCCAAACCCCACAAACCTGCCTATTCTAAATGGGTTTTGCCATCCGCCGCTGCATCAACACAAAACATATGAGACTTCACTGGGAAGGAACTTTAATACAAGTAGGAAACAATACAGGAAAGGCAAAGAATCTAGTTTCTAAATCAAGCACCCCCACAGTTACCCATCCCCTCATGGGTAAAACTCCATCCAAATGGGATTGACCCAGAGCAAATCTCCAAAGCCTGCCACAAGTCTAAAGCATCTTCCAGTGGGGACCCACAGAAAAGCATCAGAAACAACCAAACAAGTGTGGAGGGAAAAGAGCGAAATCAACATCAAGACAAAAACCGCCATTGTCACCTCCCCACGGGTCTCTCACCCACATCTCACCCAGTCCCCGACCAAAAGGCAAGCACAGTTTCTTCACGTGTCTCGCGGTTCCATGTGCCTCCTCCAGGTCTCCTTCTGGCTCTGCATCCTGCTCCTCCCTTTCTTAGTCTCCTCTGCAGCTTCTTCTCTCTCTGCTCAGCTTCACCCTCCATTTGGGTGGGGCAGGGAACCTGGAACCTCCCTCTTTCCTCGGGACCACCCTGTTACAAAACTATTACTAGTTGTGTTTGATATGATAGCATATATAGAGAACTCTAAAAACTCCACAGAAAAACTAATTAAAACAATAAATCAGTTTGGTAAAATAGCATGTCCAAAATCAACACACAAAAATCAGTAGCTTTCTTATATGCAAACAATTTGAAGAAGAAGAAATAAAGAAAACCATCTCATTCACTTTTGTACACCCCAAAATTAAATACCTGGGGATAAACTTCACAAAAGAGGTGAAAGACCTACATAAAGAAAACTACAAAACATTGATAAAAGAAATAGAAGAAAATGAAAAAGAATGGAAAGATGAGCCTTGCTCATCAGATTAGCAGAATTAACATTATCAAAATGGCCATTCTGCCAAAAGCAATTTACATATTCATTGCAATTCCAATAAAAATCTCAATGACTTTCTTCAAAGAAATAGAAAAAATATTGATGAAATTTACATGAACCATAAAAAAACTCATATAGCTGGAGCTCTCCTAACTAAAAAAGAAAATATGGAGGTATTACTCTAGGACTTCAAGCTGTTCTACAAAACCATAATAATTAAAACTGGTACTGGAACAAAGGTAGACATGAAGACCAATGGAATCGAATTGAAAACCCAGATATAAAGCCATACATATATGGACAACTAATCTATGACAAAGGATCAAAGATTTCACACTGGAACAAGAACAGTTTCTTCAATAAATGGTGCTGGGGAAGCTGGGCTACTACATTTAAAAGAATGATACTAGACTACTCCCTCACACCTTACAAAAGACCAACTCAAAATGGATTAAAAAAACCTGAATATAAGACCTAGAACCATAGAATATATAGAAGAAAACATAGGCAAAACACTCCCTGACATGCCTCAGAAACATTTTTGAGGACTCATCTCCAGAAGCAAAGATAATGAAAGAAAAGATAAACAGCTGGGATTACATCAAATTAAAAAGCTTCTGTACAGCGAAAGAGACAATAACCAAAATGAAGAGGCACCCTACAGATTGGAAGAAAATATATGTACTCCACACAACTGATAAGAGACTGATACCAGAGAGCTACAAAGAGCTTACACCACTCAACAGAAACAAAATAATCCATTTAAAAAGTAGGCAGAAGACCTAAAAAGACACTTCTCTAAAGAGGAAATGCAGATGGCCAACAGGCATATAAAAAAAAACTCTATCATTTATAATCAGGGAAATGCAAATCAAAACCACAATGATATACCGCCTCATATCATCAAGAAAGGTCCGCATTAAAAAAACTGACAACAAAATGCTGGTGAGGATGTAGAGAAAAAGAAACCCTTTTATATTGTTGGTGGGAATACAAACTGGTCCAACCACTATGGAAAGTTGTGTGGAGGACCCTCAAATTATTAAAAATGGATCTACCCTATGACTTAGCAATTCCATTCCTAGGGATCTACCCAAAGCTCACAAAAACATTAGTTCAAAAGGAAACCTGCACTTCTGTGCAGCACTATTTACAATTGCAGCACTATTTACAATAGCCAAGCTTTGGAAACAACCTAGTTGCCCAAAAATATGACTGGTTCAAGAATATGTGGTATATATATACAGTGGAGTAGTACTCAGCAATGAAAAATAATAAAGTCATGCCATTTGCAGCAACATGGATGGAAGGGCGTATGTTCAGTCAAAAAACTCAGGGTAAAAGAAATAGATGGTTTCACTTATAGTAGTAATATAGGGAAATTGAACAAGGGATTAGGAAAAAAAAGACAAAACTAGCAGATGAACTGTAGAACTGAGACATACTACAGGGGAGGGGTAGAGAGATGGGTGAAAAAAATAGGAGGGAAGAGCACAAGAAGCTATGGTGAAGTTTCACAGGTGTGGGATTTTATGGGGATTACACCTAAATCAGATATACAAATGTGAACAATGACGAAAAAAATAAATATTTTTTAAAAAGCAGGGGTATACTTAATAACTTGATGAGCTTGATGCTGATAACCTGTTTTAATTTGAAATAAAGAATTCCAGTTGGACCTGAATATGTAGAACACTCATAGACAAATTTAGATTTTATTACTGATTTCATTTTTTCTGGTCCCATCTGTGGTAAAAATATCTCCTGTAAACACTGAGTTACAAATCTAATTTTAGAAAAACATTATTTCCGAGATCTTGAGAGAAAAATATGTTCATTTAACTTTCATTTAGAATGACTGCTAAATTTTAATTCTACCCTAGGAGAATAGATTTAAACAATGATGTCTTTTGTTCTTAATCCCAAGGAACTGGAGGCTATAGTGATTTGTATTTCCAGGGGATCATAGAGCAATTTGACCTCTCCTTTTAAAACTTACCCTAGGCTTTTTCCTTCCTTCCTTCCTTCCTTCCTTCCTTCCTTCCTTCCTTCCTTCCTTCCTTCCTTCCTTCCTTCCTTCCTTCCTTCCTTCCTTCCTTCCTTCCTTCCTTCCTTCCTTCCTTCCTTCCTTCCTTCTCTCTCTCTCTCTCTCTCTCTCTCTCTCTCTCTCTCGTTCGTTTTGAAGTTAGTTAATAAAAATCTCTGACACTCTGCTTGAACTATTTTTTGTCTTGTAATTCTTAGGGTTGATCCTGATAGTCCTTTGCACAGTGATCTTCAGATCTTGAAAGAAAAAGAAGGCATAGAATACATTTTGCTTAATTTCTCTTTTAAGGTAAGATAATTGTAAGGGTACTTCATATGCTTCTAATGGGAATGTACATTTGTACACTTGCTTTGGGAAACAATTTGGTGTTACTTGGAAAAGTAGAAGGTAACTCATATATCCTGTGGATCAGGAATTCTACTGATACATACCCTGCAAGAGATGAGTACTTAGGTATAATAGGAGGCCTATACCAGAATGTTCAGAGCAGAATTGTTTATAATAGCTCCAAACAAAAAGTAACCTGAGTGTCATGTTTCAGTAGAATAAAATACTGTGGTATTTCTATTCCATAGAGTGGAATAGAGCTATGTGCAGATGGCTGTCTCTTAAACACAATGTTGAGCAAAAGAAACAGTAATCAAAAATCTACCCCAAATTGAAAGCCCAGCACCATATGGCTTTTCAGGTGAATTTTATCTCAAACCTCTAAAGAAAAAATTATGCCCATTTTGCTCGAATTATTCCTAAAAATCCAACAAGAGGGAATATTTCTTAATACATAGTGCCAATAATACCTCAATACCCAAACCAGACAAACACATCACAAAAAAAGAAAACTACAGACCAAAATTTCAGATGAGTAATGATGCAAAATTCCTCAGCAAAATCTAGCGAGTTGAATTCAATAATACATCAAAAAGATCATAAACTATAACCAGGTAGAATTTATTCTAGGAATGTGAGGGTAGTTCAGCATATGCAAATGATTCAATGTAATATATTACATCAACAAAAGAAAGGATAAAAACTACATGATAATGTCTATAAATTCAGGGAAAACATTTGATAAGATACACTACCAACTTACGATACAAACTCTAAACAAATAGGAATAGAGGGGAGCTACCACAACATTATAAACATATCACAAACTTACAGCCAATATAATACTTTATGAAAAACTGAAAGCTTTCCTTTCAAGATCAGGAACAAGGCAAGGATGTCCACTGTCAGCACTTCTCTTTAACTAGAGTCATCAGGCAACAGGAAATAAAAATAATTCAGATTTGAAGTAGAACTATCATTATTTTCTTCTATATATTTTATGGTTTCAGGTCTTATGTCTAGTTCTTTAATCCATTTTGAGTTGATTTTTGTGCATGGCATGAGGTAGTCATCATGCTTCATTCTTTTGCATGTAGCGACCCAGTTTTCCCAGCACCATTTATGGAACAAACTTTCTTTGCTCCAGTGCATATTCTTTGCTCTTTTTTCAAAGATTAGTTAACCATAAATCTGTGGGTTTATTTCTGGATTTTCTATTCGGTTCCATTGGTCTATGTGTCTGTTCTTGTTCCAAAACCATGCAGTTTTGATTATTATGGCTTTGTAGTATAGTTTGAAATCTGGGAGTGTGGTGCCTCCATTTCCTCCTTTTTTTTTTTTTCAAGAGAGCTTTGGCTCTTTGGGGTTTTTGGTGATTCCATATGAATTTCATCAATAATTGTTCTATTTCTTTGAAGAATGTCATTGAAATTTTTATTGGAATACACTGAATCTGTAAATTGCTTTTGGTAGGATGGCCATTTTAATAATGTTAATTTTTCCAATCCATGAGCAGGGGATGTCTTTCCATTTCTTTGTGTCTTCGTCTATTTCTTTTAATGGTGTTTTATAGTTTTCTTTGTATAGGTCCTTTACCTCTTTTCTTAGGTTTATTCCCAAGTATTTGATTTTTTTTTTGTTTCAATAATAAAAGGGATGGTTTTCTTGATTTCTTCTTCTTCAGATTTATTGTTTGTGTATAGGAAGGTTAGTGATTTTTGCATATTGATTTTGTATCCTGCCACTTTACTAAACTGATTAGTTTAATTAGTTTTTCTGTGGAGTTTTTGGGGTTTGCTATGTATATTATCATATCATCTGCAAATAGTGATAGTTTAACTTCTTCCTTCCCTATTTGGATTCCTTGTATGTCTTTCTCTTGTCTTATTGCTCTGGCTAGGACTTTCAGTATTATATTGAAAAGCAGTGGTGAGAGTGGATATCCTTGTCTTGTTCCAGATCTTAATGGAAATGCTTTCAGCTTTTCACCATTGAGAATAATACTGGCTATGGGCTTGTCATATATGCCCTTTGTGATGTTGAGGAATGTTCCTTGTATCCTGAGAATTTCAAGGGCCTTTATCATAAATGGGTGTTGTACTTTGTTGAAAGTTTTCTCAGCATCTCTGATATTATCATATGGCTTTTATATTTCTTTTTGTTGATGTGTTGGATTACATTGATTGATTTTTGGATGTTGAACCATCCTTGTGTCCTGGAATAAATCCTACTTGGTCGTGGTGAATTATCTATGGATACATTGTTGGATTCTGATAGCTGAAATTTGATTGAGGATTTTTACAAGACATGTACCTCAAAGACATCTTTACAGACACATCACCCAAAGCAGTGATAGTGAAGGCAAAGATAAACAGCTGGGACTAAATTAAAGAGCTTCTGAACAGCAAAAGAGACAATAACCAAAACAAAGAGAAATGCTACCGACTAGGAGAACATTTTTGCACGCAACACTAAGGATAAAGGACTGACCACAAAAATCTACAAAGAGCTCATGAGACTCAAAAAAAAAAAAAAAAAGCAAAGAAAATAATCCGGTCAAAAAATGGGCAGAAGAGCTAAAAAGAAACTTTTCCAAAGAGGAAATGCAAATGGCCAACAGGCATATGAGAAAATGTTCAGCATCACTTGTCATCAGTGAAATACAAATCAAAACTACAATGAGATACCATCTCACACCAGTGAGAATGACACATATTAAAAAAAACTAGCAACAACAAATGTTGGCAAGGTTGTGGAGAAAAAGGAACTCTCCTGCACTGTTGGTGGGAGTGCAAACTTGTCCAACCACTATGGAAAGCTGTGCGGAGATTTCTTGACCTACTAAACATAGAGCTTCCATATGATCCAGCAACTCCACTCCTAGGTATTTACCCAAAGGACACAAAATCATTAATTCAAAAGGGCACCTGCACCCCTATGTTTATTGCAGCACTATTTACAATAGGTAAGCTATGGAAACAACCCAAATGCCCAAAAATAGATGACTGACTGGGCCTCCCCGGTGGCGCAGCGGTTGAGCGCTGGGTTGCGAAGCTCCCCGCGACCTCCACGGCGCTGGTTCAATCCCCGGCTGCTCCCCGGCCTCTGGAGGAGGGTCCCACATGGCGCACAGACCTCTCCTGCCGCCCGCTGCTCCCCTCAGCAGTGTACTTCGGTCCTTCTGCCTGCTCTGCTCCCCACTCTGGCTCTGGTGAATTCTCTCACCCTCCTGCGCTTCTGACTGTACTCAGTGATTGTATAAATAAATAAATAAATAAATCTTTAAAAAAAAAAAATAGATGACTGGATCAAGAAGATGTGGTACATATACACCATGGAATATTACTCAGCAATCAAAAAAGATAAACACATGCAATTTGCAGCAACATGGGTGGAGCTGGAAGGGATCATGCTCAGTGAAATAAGCCAGAAAGAAAAAGAAAAATACCAGATGGTCTCACTCATAGCATGAATTTAGAAAACCTAAATAAGGGACCAGGAAAAAGACTAATTGCAATAAAATAAAAATCAAAATCAACAAGCAACTATAGACCAGAGACACACTACAGGGGGGTATGGGGGAGGAGAAGAGGGATTAGGGTCAGAAAAAGGGGGTGGGAACTGTATGGGGAATATAACCAAAATGAAAATGCATACATTATGCAAAAATGAAAATTATGTAAGAATTATATAAAATAAAATCATAAAAATCTTAAAATGAAACAGAAGAGTATAAAAACAAAACTATCATTATTTTCAGATAATATGACATTATAGATAGAAAATCTTAAAGACTGTGCCAAGAAGCTACTAGAAATGATCAATGAATACAGTAAAGTGGCAGCTTACAAAATTAACACATAATTCACACATAAAATACATGTTTTTATATGTAAATGAAGAATGGGAAGAAAACAAAATGAAGGAAAACATTTCATTTACAATTACATCAAAAAGAATTAAATACTTAGGAGCTAACTTTGCCAAGGGATGAAGGATTTATACAATGAAAACTGTAAGACTATTAAAAGATATAGAACAAGACATAAAGAGACAAAAATATTCCATGTTCAAGGACAGGGAGAATTAATATAGTTAAAATGCCTATACAAAGCCATATATTGATGAGGATTTAATGTATTCCCCATTAAAATTTCAGTGATATTTTTCAAGGAAATAGAATTTAAAAATCCTAGAATTTATAGGAAACCGTAAAAGTTCCTGAATAGCTGAAGCAATTTTGAGGGAAAAAGGTAGAAAAACGGGGGCATCGTGTTACCTGATTTTCAAACTATATTATAAAGCAACAGTAATTTACAAAATATGGTATTAGAATGAAAAATAGGTTGGTCAATGGGACAGAATTGAAAGCTCAGAAATAAATGTTCACTATTTATGGCAAAGAAGCCATGGCCATGCAGTGGAAGAAGGAACATCACTAACAATGGTGCTGGGAAAACTGGACAAACACATGAAAATGAATGAAGGTGATCTAACTCAATGCACAAAAATGAATTCAAAATGGATTAAAGATTTATGTATATAAGACGTGCAATAATAAAATAGAAGAAAACATTGGTGATATGTTCCATGTCATCAATGATAGCGATGTCTCTGTGGATTGGAACCTTACAGCAAGGGAAGTAAAAGCTAAAACAAACAATTGTGGAACTACTTCAAATCAAAGACCTTCTACAAAGAGAAAGTATTACCAGATTTAAAAAGATGTCCTACTAAATGGGAGAAAATATTCACACATCACACAACTGACAAGTGGTCAATATGTAAGTTATACTAAGAGCTCATCCAACTTAAAAACAGTAAAAAGTAACCCAGTTAATGAGCAGTAGATCTGAATATCTGAAGTTTACCAAAGAGGACATCAGAAGGCCAACCAATTTACAGAGGTATGAAGAAATACTCATGGTTTCTAGTAAGGAAAATGCAAGCAAAACTACAGT